CACACACACACACACACACACACACACACACCCCACACACTCCTACCCTTTTATCTTTTTCTGTTTGATTTTTTTTTAACCTCATCCTCTAACCCCCTGAACCAAGAAGCTGTTGTCCAAATGGAGCAAGAGACTACGGCATTACTGCATGGTTTAATATTAGGAAAGGTGTGTATCAGGGCTGTCTCCTTCCTTCATATCTATTCAATCTAAATGCTGAGCAAATAAGTCATGAAGTTGGAGTGTGTGAAGAAGAACATGACATCAGGATCAGAGGAAGACTCATTGACAGCCTGCATTATATAGATGGTATAACTTTGCTTGCTGAAAATGAGGAAGATGTGAAACTCTTGCTACCGAAGATCAAGGACTACAACCTTTGGTATGGATTACATGTCAATATCAAGAAACAAAGGTCCTTACCACAGGCCCAAAAGTCAACATAATGCTAGATGGAGAAAGGACTGAAGCTGCCAATGTTTTCATCTTACTTGGATCATCAATAAACACCCTTGGTACCAGCAGTCAGGAAATTAGGAGACATATTGCTCTGGGCAAGTCGACTGGCAGTGACTTCTCCAAAATGCAGAAGAGCATTGAGGTCAATTTGAAGACTAAAATGTGCCTGATTCAGGCCATGTTCTTCTCAATCATCTGCTTTGCATCAAAGAGCTGGACAATGGATAAGGATGACAGAAGAAGAATTGATGCCTTTTAATTGTGGTGCAGGAGAAGAGTACTGAAGTGGACTGCCAAGAGATCAAACAGATATGTCTTGTAAAAAAATGCAGCCAGAGTGCTCCTTGGAGGCAAAGATGGCAAAGCTTCATGTTTTACCATTTGGACATGTAGCTGGGCAAGGCTGGTCCTCAGAAAGATACATCATGCTCAGAAAGATGGACCAACAAAGGAGAGAAAAATCCCTCAATGAGCTGGGTTGACACATGGTGACTTGAGCAATGGGCTATAGTGTGCCAGAGATGGTGGGGTTGGCACAAGATAGGACACGGTTCAGGTTGGCTCTTCACAGAGTCTCTATGAGTCATATTCAACTTGATAGCACCTAACAACTTCAACAACTAACCCCCCAGTTCCATCCTGGGCCTCGCTACCCTCAGGTTTCCCTCAGCCTCTCTGGCTGCCCCTCACTCATCAGGGCTGTCCTCTCGCCCTCAAGCTTCATTCTCAGGTATGATGGAGAGTGAACCACTGAGGAAGAAGAGGCTCTTCCATGTGTCTTTGGAAGGTCACTTTACCACGGTTGCCTCAATTTCCATATTCAGCAAGTAGCACTTACCCCGAGACAACCCACCATGTTCTCCTCAATTTTTCTTAATAAGAGACCCCATTACAAGTGTGGGATGGGAGTTTTGAGGGGAGGAGAATGGATTGGTGGTGCTGGGCCCGAGTTGAGAATAAATTAGAAAATATTGTGTAATATGCAAAGAAGTCTCATTCAGATAAACTTCTGTGCATTCTGGCTTCTTTGTGGTGGACTTTGAAATTGTAGTGCCCACTCCCCATTTACTGGTGCTTGTTGTCAGAAAATCCTCCTGGTATCCTGCAAGGCGGGGTTGGTATGCAGCAGTCCCAGTGCCACCCTGCAATTCCACAGGGGATCAGAGAGCCTGGAGATTATGACGGCCTTTTCCCTGGGATCTCAGACCATACCATTCTTGTGTCACCATTACAGAAGGGAACACCGTTCTCTGAATTTCTTTGTTCAAGGTTGGCCGAGGGAATGAAAGAAAAAAAATAAGTAAAACACTTGGCTGTGTGATTCCTGGGTCAGGTTCTAGCAAGGAATCCTATGTACTGTGGATGGGGCCATTGTGATCCAGAGTTCTCAATGGTTGCTTTTTGGAAATGGATTTCCAGGCCTTTCTTCCTAGCCTTAAGAAGCTCCCCTGAGACCTGTTCAGCATCATAGCAACATACAAGCCTACCTGGTAGTCCAATATGACTGCCCAGGAGGTACACCAGACGGGACTAAAGTCCAGGTCTTATGCATGGAAAGTGGAGCCCCCCTCTCACCGAACTACCGAGCCCCGGAGATCAGAGGAACCACACAGATGGGTACCAGCAGGGTGGGGCAGGCAGCCAACAGGCAGGATAAGGTTGAAGCCCTTCCTATGCCAAACCCACTCTATCTATGAAGCGGCAATTATTTTTTTTTCTTGGCAATTATTTTTTAAAGTTTCAAATAGGGGGCCATTCTCACAGAACATTTGGCAACAAAGACGATGCTTGGAAATTATGACTTGTGTCATTTGGGAAGAACCAGCATCAAGTTAATGACATAGACATGTCCCCACATAGGATGTTGGAAGGTGTTAGGCACAGGCAGGCAAGCCGCAGCAACATGTCAACTGTCCTCCTCTCTGTTTACAGTTTAAGGAGATAAGGGCGTGGGGGCGAAGCAGGAGAGGGCCCGCAGCCCTAGCTGTGTTGGTGGTGGGGACCGTCGAGTCGGCTCTGACATAGAGACCTCACACACAACAGAGCGAAACGCTGCTGGTGCTGCATCATCCAGACGCTCTGTGGTGTGTTCGGTTCACTGTCGCAGTGGCTGTGCCAGTCCCTTTCACTGTGGGTTTGTTTTTGTTGGCCTGCTTCTTTATCAGTCATGACGGCCTTTTCTAGTGATTGAACTTTCCTGGTGATGTGACCAAGCAAGCAACAAGTAAGATAGAATCTTACCATCTCGCTTTTAGAACATTCTGACTGTATTTCATCTAAGAGTGATCTGTACTTTCTTATCACTGCCCATGGTTATCTTTAGCTGGGCTCTCCAGAGAAGCAAAGTAAAACTCAACGAAGTATCTTTGTGTGTGTGTGTGTGTGTGTGTGTGTGTGTGTGTGTGTGTGTGTGTGTGTGTACAGAGCGCTCTGGTGGCCTAGTGGGTAAACAGATGAACTGCTAATCCAAAGGCACATGGTTCAAATCACCAGCAGCTCCACAGGAGAGAGATCTCCTTTGAGATTTACAGCCTTTGAAAAACCACTGGAAGGTCAGGTTTGAGATGGTTCTGACTTGATAGTACATAATAATACCTATTCAATTGGATCAGAGTTGATCACATCATTACATAGCTGTCCCCAGTCCTTCCTCATTAATATCATAGAGGTTAGCAATTACAATAGGACAATTACATGATGGAAATTATAGCCACATCAACACACAATATTTCCCATCACAACTCTATATGCAATATTCTTCAGCAACACCACAATCTGATGATAGAGACTGGAGATCACCCAGTCGAGGCACAAGTGATATTTACTGGCCAACCTCCTCAGCACAAGCATTCCCCACTCCCCCCAGGTGAGAGTGCACAGAGGTGCTACAGACAAGCAGCTTAGAAAGGGGAGGCTTAGGCAGGTTAGAGAAGTGCTAGGGAGGGAGGTACGCTTGGCAGGGACTTTGTGCAAAGGCCGGGTGTTTAAGGGTTCCTGATATGCTTTTGGTCATCATTCTGCTTGCCTCTCACTGAGGCATCAGTTATTCTTCCATCTTCCTTCTTCATAGCCCAGCAACCTTCGTGACAATACCAAGGCCATGCTGCTTCTCTCACACTTGACTTTCTAGCTTAGGTTAGTAATGTTTACTTTCCCATCCTCAGTCCTCTCAGACATTACTGTGTAATCACTGTGTTGTTGTTGGGTGCTGTCAAGTCAGAATCCACTCATAACTGACCTCCCAGCAGGTTTTCAGAGGTTATATACAGCAAATGGATGGAAAGTACTAATATTTCACTCCTGAAGCAACTGGTGGATTCAAACCATCTGTCTTTGGGTTGGCGGTGCAACTCCTTACTGAGAGGCATGGAAACTTGCCTTGGGAACCCAACCCATTCCTATAACTACAAACTATCCTCTTTTCCCTTGCACTTAGCAACTAGAACTTATAACAATACTCCTCTTCACTCTCTAATACCTGGCCCCTCTCTACTCCTTTACACCTCGCCCCTCTCTGCTCCCTTTACCTGGCTGGAAAGATGACTGAAACTGTTCCAGGATCCATTAAACACTCCGCCTTTGTGGAAAGCCCCTAGCAAGCATACTTCCTCCAACCCTAGGACTTCCCTACCTTGCTTCAACCTCCCCTTTCCAAGCTGCTTGCTTGTACCAGCCTGGTGCACTCATCCCAGACATGCTTGAGCTGGTGGAAGTTGGCCAATAAATACTGCTTATGCCTTGACTGAATGGTCTTACACCTCTGTCACTTACCCATAAGTGTTCCTTAGAACCATAAGATCAACATTGATGCAACTGAATACATGTATGGACTTTCTGGCAAAGCTGGAGAGCTTGTTGCCAGTTTTTCTCTGGAACCTGGCTTGTCAATTTAGGACTTGATCCAGTGGCTTGCCTTTCATGTATAAATCAGGGAAAATGCCACCTGTCCCTCCATCTGAAGGGGTGTGGTCTAGGTGAGATACCATCACTGAGGTTGGTGTGCTTTGAAAACTGCAGTGAATTCACATACACATGATGCCCTCTGGTGGCCTTCAAGGATATAAATAAATTCTTTGTGGGTGAACATGCCCTGGGTACGCAGAGTAAATATTCAACAAACATTTGCATTGAGCTCAAGTAGGCAGTGCCCAGCAGCAATGACATGAGGTTTCCTGCCAGCCCTGGAGTGAAAGTAGTGGGTGACCCCATTTGGTAGTGGAACCAGGAAGAAGG